CTTTTTGAAGAACAAATTTCAAGATGGAAGCAATTAGCCAGAAGATTTAAGATTGTTCTTCCCTTTGTAAATGGCAGACTTCGAATAATATAACAGCAGATAAATCTTGATGAATAAATTCCACTCGAATTAATGACGGACGATACGTACTACGATCTGATTCTGTATCAATACTAAAATAACGTGTTTTCTGTGATAATTGGATTCGATAATGTAATAAATTTGTATTTGCTGAACGATTGATTAAGTAAACTTCGTAGTCATTCATTGGTATAAATACGGGTAAACGATTACGTTCTTGATTATGTAACATTTTTATTTGAAATTTTTTTCATTGCTCATACCACTAGGAATAATGAAGAAAATTACATCAAATGAAAATTTTTCATATAAATAAAGAATAGAACAACATATACGTATTTTATTTTATCTCTTTCGGCTTTATAAAAGCCTTATATTTATTCTTCAGTAGTATAAAAACTCTTGATAAAATAAGTCTTATTTTCAATGAGTATATCTTGTTCTGGATGAAAATAAATAGGAGACTCCATTTTTGATATCTAATCTACAATATCGATTATTCTTTCAGTTACGATGATTGATTTTGACAAATGTTCATGTATTTCACTTTTAATTGCTATCAGCTGTTGTTGTTCTAAATCATTCTCCATTGTATGATGAACAATTGGATGAGATAAAACAATATTAGTATGGGACATTTGTACGAATCTATTGTTTTCCATTGATTTTAATGAAGATATTTTCGATGATTTAAGAGTAGGTAAAGATGAATATTTGATCAATCTAAGAATGATTCATATTTTAGAAAATAAAAGTTATTCTTTCAAATTCTAGAAAGATAAATATAAAACTAAAACAAAATTGTTCATCTCTTAATAAGTTTTATTTTTGAAATTTAATCAGAACAAAAACAAATACTGAAAACTTTATTTGAAATGTAGTTTGACCGAAAAGAATTTAGAGATTGGACATATTTGATTGTGAGGATGTTGGTAAAAGTAACATATTTCATGTTCTAAATGGCCACATTTGTATTGAAGAATACCATCATTAGTATGTTCATTGATAGGTTAATTACATACAAGACATGTAATGAGTTGAGCCATAGTTTGTTTTTTTCTTTTTCGTAAATAATTAGTTATTGTTTTTATGAAAAATAATAGAATCTATAAAAAACAAAATATAATTGTAGAAGTGATACGTATAAGTCTTATTCCAATAGTAGTGACGATAGAACAATCTTATGAAATTAATCGTATTGTTTCTTGATTAAGATGAAATTTGATGAATAATCTCCTATCATTATAATTTTGTAGAACATTTAGATGATTGTATCATATGAATCAAAAAAAAAA